CATGGCAGAAGCCGAGCTATCCCTTTTTTCTGCGCGGATTAATATATAATGGTTGTTGTTTTTTAAACATCCACAAAATATAGCTGTGTGAAACCAGAAAGTATTGAGTCTTTTATTTTTAATGACTATGAATTACAAATCAAGAAATTTGTTGCAGTCGTATGTATATTTTCAGTCTTTTTTTCTGTTTGTTCACAGATGCATGGAATAATGCCAGCGTCTAGAAGATCTTGGTTTATTGAACCTACCTATTAACATCAGTTGTAGAGGTTTTTCCATTTCTTGGCCGTCATCCATTACTTATGAGATTAGACTAAATGCAGCCTGTCAGCAGTCACAGCACTTTGGGCAGGCTTTCTGGTTGCCTGCCAGTCTCTTATCACAAGAGTTCATGTGACTGCCGAGAGATGAAGCTGTACACATGTGCAAAGTCAGGATTCTATATTTTTAATGAGTGATTGAAACCTCACTAATTGCTGTAGGATGCGTCTCCTGTTTTTTGTATATCTTGTGCCTTATCTGTATTATTTCAGTGGGTAGCAGAAGCTGTTTGTCAGGATGTGTACCCTTGTTTACTGACCCAGACAATCCCATTTCCACCAGTCTAATTATATTTACTCATTATTCCTTGGCTCTTAATTATTCATCTGAACACTATATATCTGCGACATTGAAACAGGTTAGTTCAGATACCGATCGAGCAAGGAAAACAGCACAACTGTTAACCCCTTTGAATACATGAAATCTAGCCTTTATTATTTTATTTGCTATTACAGGAGGAAGGATGATGATGGGGATTAATGCCAAAAATCTATAAAAGAAGGAATTGAGAGATCTATAAGCGGTTTGTTTTTATCACTCTCACTCAGATGTGTAGTGTGCATGTGTATATACAGTTAGGTTGGGAAATATTTGGACACTGACACAATTTTCAGAATTTAGGCTCTGTACGACACCGTAATGGATTTGTAATTATACGACCGAGATGCAATTGAAGTGCAGACTTTTGGCTTTAATTCCAGGGGCTGAACTAAAATATTGCATAAAACGTTTAGGAATTGAAAACATTTTCTTACACGGTCCTCTTATCTCAGGGGCTCAAATGTAATTGAACAAATTATCACAATCATTAAAAAATTTAAAAATATTATACTTTGTCAAGAATCATTTGCAGGCAATGACTGCTTGAAGTCTGGAACACATGGACATTACCAAACATTGGGTTTTCCCGTTTGTGATGCTTTGCCAGGTCTTTGCTTCAGCTGTCTTCCGTTGTTGTTTGATTGTTAGTCTTTCTGCCTTAAGTTTTGTCTTCAGCAAGTGAAATGCATGCTCAATCGCATTGAGATCAGGTGATTAACTTGGCCATTGCAGAATATTCCACTTCTTTGCCTTAAACTCATGGGTTGCTTTCGCAGTATGTTTTTGGTCATTGCCCGTCCGTTAAGTGAAGGGCCGTCCAATCAACTTCGCTGACTTTGGCTGAATCTGAGCAGACAATATATCCCTTTACACTTCAAAATTCATCCAACTGCTTCTGTCACATCAATAAATACTAGTGACCCAATGCCAATGGAAGTCATGCATGCCCATGTCATCAAACTGCCTCCACTGTGTTTCACAGATGATGTGGTATGCTTCAGATAATGAGTTGTTCTAAGCCTTCTACATCCTTTCCCCATTTGAAAAGATCACTTTCAGTATCAAAACCAGTTTAGCATTTACACAACACAGTTGTGCTGATAGCTGCACGTTGTGAATCCCACAATCTGTAAACTGATAGCAGCCACATTATGGCGGTTAGCAGTTTTTAAAACGGTTAACCTCGTCACAGGTGAATGAGTGCATCTGCTCTTACAGGATATACTACTTATTCACAAACCTCTGCTGGGCATGAGTAAATGGCATTAGAGTTTGTTGCTGAGAGTGGGATCTGACTGGAGTGAAGTAAGCAGACATACAAAGCAGCATTGAAAAAAACAATGACGATAACTTTTTTATTACTTTGCATTATTTAAAAAAATTAATGTTTTCTCGCACACACATGGCACCGGTGTTCCAAACCATTGACCTACAGTATATCTTACAATGGTCTATACTTTGTGTTGAGCATTTTTTAATCTATTCAGCAGTTTGTTTGTTTTAATAACAGCAAATACAATATTTCTTGCTAGCCTTGACAAAGACAGCACAAAGCTTCGTCAAAGAATCATCTTCTGTTCAACGCACAGTCGAAACCTAGGAACTAGTCCGCAGATCAGAATCTGATTGGCTGCCGACATCACAGGTTCTCTGGTGCCTTGTTTTTGTTCATCACCTCACCAAAAGTTTGAAAATAGTGATTAAAGTAAAAAATTACCCAAACTGAAACGTAGTGGTAATTTGAGCTAAATATTAGACAAAAAGGAAATTGATTTTGAGAGTACATCCCAGGTAAAAACCCTGCAATCAAGCCTCAAAACAGATTACCCACAGCTAATTTCAGCTAAACTCTCTGCCTTGGTTAAATGAACATAGCATTAATATGTTTGCATGATTGTGTTAAACTGCCTTATAAAGATATTTTCTGGTGCCTGTGCGATTCTAAACACTCCATCTTTTTTTGTGTGTGTAATTAGAGCTCATAATCTCAATAAATGTCATTGTGGCAGTAAAAATGATAAAATATGTAAAATGACTGTTTATGATAAAAAAAATGATAAAGTAATTTTGGCCAAATCTAAACTATAAAACCAGCATGTGGAAAATAAAAATGAGGGATATGCTGGCGTGGATGCCAAAACCACTAAGCTTTGGGTGCAGAATACCACGAGCCAGCGATGAGACTGGGTATTTTATATAATTACTGAAATTGTTCTTGAACGGATTCTGATGGATGAAACTTACAATCTGTCGGTAAGGCTGCAGTGTTTGAGTTATGGTCCTGCAGGCACAAGAAGCTGTAATTACTGTCCAGTTGGCCAGATATGTATTTTATTCTTTATTTAGGCTTGTGTTACATACTAATATTGGACTTTCCATTGAAGCCTTGACAGTTGGTCCTATTTTTAATCAACTCATTTCATTTATTTTAGTTTGGGTTTTTTTGTGCAAATATTCGTGACACTTTCACTACATTTTTGTGTGATTTATTTACCCATACAGGGATTCAATAAAGTTTGTGTTGTGTGTTTTTTTTTTTTTTTTTTTAATTAAGGCACAAAGCCCAATACCTGATCAGTAATTTCCAACAAGGGTAATAGGATTAGTAATGGTCTTGCTCTCTTCAAGCCCACTCTAATCTTTCTCTTTGTTACATACTATTTATTTTCTGATGTATGTATAATAAAATGATGTGTACTACCTGATGATATGCACATTACTTCCCAAAGTTCAGTTAAACAAAGTAACAGATCTCTCATTACTGCGGTATTCATATTTGACACCTGTTGGATGTCACATGTAATACAAAGATCCCATTCTCAGGAAGGATTGCTGACCAACAAATAATGGAAGCACTAAGTCATAAGTTACATAATAACAATTCCTCTTCCACCTGTAGAATGGAAGAAGCTGCATGATTAAAATTTTGAATGTGCAATGCATTTATTATTTTTTGTGTGTTGTACGATTATCTGTGATCTAATATTCTATTAGAATTGCATTTTTTTCTTGTTTTTTAAATGATAAAACCAGCAGTTTGCATTTCAGAATCTGTAGTGTAAAGAAATATAGCTCTTGGGTTTAAGGAAGCTTAAGTTTTGTGTGTCTTTTTGTTTTTTAATTCTGCATTGTGTATTTCATGGAACTCGATACGCATGCTATACATAAGCAACTTCAGACCCATTTATGGTTGCCATCTAACCAGTAAAATTGTCATCTATGCAAGTACAATGGTGGTATATTTTAGTTGCTTTGTTTTCATAGAATGTATCAGTCATCAGTCCTAGCTTTATACAATAATTGAGAATGTTTGAGAATAGTGGTGACATTGTGAAACTCGTTGTGTGTACCTGGTCTTTAACACCTTTGGGAAGGGGGCAGGCAATTGTCCAAGTTCTGAACCAAAACAAAACCTAGAATTTGCACTTTGTGTTTTTTCCACAGTATTTAAAGAAACACTATAGGGTCAGGAACACAAACCTGTTTTCCTGAGTAAAAAATTAAAGAGAAAATACTTATGCAATATTGTCTGTATAGAAAGCCAGAAATATATAAACATACATATATATGTGTGTGTGTGTGTGTGTGTATATATATATATATATATATATATATATATATATATATATATATCACTTTCAAAGCTAGAGCCAGTAATCACTAAGCTCAATCTACAGGCGTGGTAGGATTTTATGGGAATCCTGTCCCCTCTTTTATATGCTGCTGGTGTGATGTCTCATCTATGTTAGAGTAAGAATCCACCAACTCCCATTGAGGTAATCATAGGCGTGCGCATGTGGTGTGCCTAGTCACTCCCTAATCCCCGTGGCACGCCTATGGTTTGAGTCCTGCAGGAACAGCGTTCCTGCACTTTTTTTGAGCAGGAACGCTGTTCCTGCAGGCACTCAGCGCCCCCTGTTTCACTTCTTGCCCATGTCATGGGGGGGGCAAGAGGTGATGGATCCCCCCCTCTGCATCTCATCCGCGGCGAGGGAGCTGTCTGCTCTCTGCTTCCTCTCGCCACGCGCTGATGCCAGGAGCCGGAATATGACACCATATTCCGGCTCCCAGCTACTGTAGACAACCCGCGCGGCGAGAGGAAGCAGAGAACAGACAGCTCCCTCGCCGCAGCTGAGCTTGAGACAGGCGCCCGCCCAACTGGACCCCAGGGACAAGTCCACGCCAGCACTTCAGGTAGGAGGCTGGGTGGACATTTTTTTAAATTAAAATATAATAATTTGTTCTTGAGTGTGTCTGTGAGTGTATGTGTGTGTCTGTGTGAGTATGTGTCTGTGAGTATATGTATGTGTGTGTGTCTGTGAATGTGTGTGTGTCTGTGAGTGTATGTATGTGTGTCTGAATGTGTTTGTGAGTGTGTGTGTGTACGTATATATATATATATATACACACACACACACACACACACACACACACACACACACACACACGCAGAGCCGGCGCTATCTGAGTGCCGGCTCTGCTCTAAGCCTCCATGGGCCGGTGGGGAGACCAAAGATCTACCTCACCGGCCCACAGCAGCATGGAGGGAGGCAGGAGAGGACCCAGGGAGCTCTAGACAGAAGCTCCGCCAGGTTCCTCTCGCAATATCTGAGCGTTGCTGCGGCAACGCTCAGATCTCGTGAGAGTTAACTCTAGCCCGCAGGCTAGAGTTCACTCTCCACTGGGCCACCAGGGATCGCACATGGCAGCAAGGATTTACTGATCTGCCAAATCCCTCCAAACATACAGCACACACACATACAGCACCTACACACATACAGCTCACACACACACAGTACACTAACCGCACCCTCACAAACACACACAGCACCTTTAAAAAAAAACACAACACCCTCACACACAGCACACTAACAGCACCCTCACAACACACACACACACACACACAAACAGCACCCTCACAAATACACGACTCTCACACAAACAGCACCCTCACAGGACAAACATACACACACAAACACCCTCACATCACACTAACAGCACCCTCACACACACATCACACTAACAGCACACTAACAGCACACACAGCAGTGTGTGTGTGTGTATCTATATATATATATATATATATATATATATATATATATATATAGATACATAAACACACACACGCGGCGTGTGTTTGTGCTTTAGGGTGCACACCCTAATGCAATAGGCTGTGCACGCCTATGGAGGTAATGATGGTACTTTATTACTTTAAGAAATAAAATAAATGTGAAAGATAAAAATCCAAAAGGTGAGTAAAAGGCACAAGTCCTTACAGTAAGATGTCCTTAAAGGACCACTATAGTTCCAGGAAAACAAACTCGTTTTCCTGTCACTCTAGGGTCTTTAGGTCCCGTCCCCCCACCCTCAGGGTCCCCCTCCCGCCGGGCTGAAGGTGGAGGAAGGGGTTAATCACTTACCTTTCTCCAGCGCCGGGCTCCCTTGGCGCTGGGGAAATCTCCTCCCTCTTCCAACGTCAGCGCTGAATGCGCATGGGCAAGAGCCCCACGCGCATTCAATCAGTCCATAGGAATGCATTCTCAATACTTTCCTATGGACGTCAGCGTCTTCTCACTGTGATTTTCACATTGAGAAGGGCGGAAGCACCTTTAGCGGCTGTCAATGAGACAACCACTAGAGGCTGGATTAACCCTAATGTAAACATAGCAGTTTATCTGAAATCTAGTAAACTTGTACCTTCAAGGCTACTGGTGCTGGCTCTGCCCCTGATCTTACTGCTTGGCTGACATCAGAAGGGGTGATCACAGCCAATACAGTGTATCTTAATTAAAAGTCCCTGACGTTATATGGTCTTAACTCGCTGTGTGTACCAGGTCTATAAGCCTCTGAGTGCATGGTCTTAACTCAATGTGTGTACCTGGTCTAAAAGTCTCAGTGGATATATAGTCTAAATTTACAATGTATACCTGGTCTCTTTTACTTAGTTTCATAATGTAGATAGCTATTTAATATTCCGTGTTACTAGGATTACATCTATAAACATTGCAGTTAGACTGCATAATTTATTTATAAATTGTCTCTACTCTATATGCAATCACATTAGAACTTGTCAAATTATTTATAACCTATATCTATATGTGGAACAAGGTGTATCAAACCAGTTAAAAAAATTAAATACAAAAAAAAATCAACTAAAATACTTGGTTCCAATTGTTTCAGGTGCGTGAATTGCAAACCCGTCTGCAAAGTGTGCAAGCAACTGGTCCTTCCAGCCCAGGTCGACTCACATCTGCCAGCCGACCAGTCAACCCCAGCACTGGTGAGCTAAGTACCAGCAGCAGCAGCAATGATATCCCCATCGCTAAGGTGAGTAATACTAGCCCTTGGCGTTTGGCTGACATTTTCCCAGAAAGGTAGCTCTTTATGTTAAAATTATTCAGACCAGCATCAGGCACATTCAGAGCCTGATTTACAAAATACAAACATTGATTAATTTCATCAACAATGTCTGCATTTTGCAGTCCAAATGGCCACGTACAGCAGCAAGTGGTTTTGCACCTTTTGATTTGGGGCCATTTGGACTTTAGTAATTAATCCAGATACACTATATCCCCATTATGGAAACATAGAATATGACAGCAGATAAGAACCATTCGCCCATCTAGTCTGCCCAATTTTCTAATTACTTTCATTAGTCCCTAGCCTTATCTTATAGTTAGGATAGCCTAATGCCTATCCCACGCATGTTTAAATTCCTTCACTGTGTTAACCTCTACCACTTCAGCTGGAAGGCTATTCCATGCATCCACTACCCTCTCAATAAAGTAATACTTCCTGATATTATTTTTAAACCTTTGCCCCTCTAATTTAAGCCTATGTCCTCTTGTTGAGGTAGTTTTTCTTCTTTTAAATATAGTCTCCCCCTTTACTGTGTTTATTCTCTATATGCTTTTAAATGTTTCTATCATATCCCCCCTGTCTCGTCTGTGCTCCAAGCTATACATGTTAAGATCCTTTAACCTTTCCTGGTAAGTGTTATCCCGCAATCTCTGAACTCTCTCTAAAGTATCAATATCCTTCTGTAGATACGGTCTTCAGTACTGTGTACAATACTCCAAATGAGGTCTCACCAGTGTTCTGTACAATGGCATGAGCATGGTACTGCTAATACCTCTCCCTATACAACCAAGCATTCTGCTAGCATTTCCTGCTGCTCTATTATATTGTGTGCCTACCTTTAAGTCATCAGAAATAATCACCCCTTAATCCCTTTCCTCATATGTTGAGGTTAGGACTCTATCAAATATTCTGTATTCTGCCATTGGGTTTTTACATCCAAGATGCATTATCTTGCACTTATCCACATTAAATGTCAGTTGCCACAACTCTGACCATTTTTCTAGTTTACCTAAATCATTTGCCATTTGGCTTATCCCTCCTGGAACATCAACCCTGTTACAAATCTTAGTATCATCAGCAAAAATACATACCTTACCATCAAGACCTTCTGCAATATCACTAATAAAAACATTAAAGAGAATGGGTCCAAGTACAGATCCCTGAGGTACCCCCCTGGTGACAAGCCCAGGCTGTTGCCTGTCACTCATCCACTGCCTTACCCATTCAACAATATTGGAATCCAAACTTAAAGGTTGCAGTTTATTGATAAGCCTTCTATGTGCAACAGTGTCAAAAGCCTTACTGAAATCTAGGTAAGCAATGTCTACTGCACCACCCTGATCTATAATTGTAGTTACCCAATCAAAAAAATCAATAAGATTAGTTTGGCATGATCTCCCTGAAGTAAACCCATGTTGTCTCTGATCTTGAAATCCATGTGTTTTTAGATGTTCATCAATCCTATCCTTTAACATGGTTTCCATCACTTTCCCCAGTACTGAAGTAAGGCTTACTGGCCTATAGTTGCCCGACTCCTCCCTACTACCTTTCTTGTGAATGGGCACACGAGTTACTGTGTGATTACCAAATTCTAACATAACCCAAATGGACTCTATGTTTGCCTCACTAACTTTTATTAGGCTATCTTTCACATACTATGCTTAAATGCTATTTAAAGTATTTAATAAAATATATATAAAGGAAGAAAGACATTTATAGTGTATTATACTTTATTCTACTTAACGTAAGAAAATAATACGGTAAGAGTCACTGAATCACATTATCCAAGCTAATAACTGCAAGAATGGAAAAGCTATTTAAATTTGCTGGCCCCAGTTGTAACATTTAAAAAAAAAAAAAAAAAGCTATGAATTCTTCCCTCTATGAGGCTCTTTTATCCCTTTGTTTATGTCTAAGCCCTTCACATTTTAACCGATTACAACATTTTATTTCCCTTTTCATTATCTACGTATTGTAAAGTACAGCCAATTTACTATGAGCCCCTTCCTTACTGTAAGAACATAAATCAATTGCCTAATTAGAGACACTTTCAATGGGGAGGCACTACAATATCATGGTATTCTCTGATCGCGAACATGTGGGGGAGTGAAATTGTAGACATTTAACAGGGTAAAGGTGTTGGTGCACACAGACATATCAACTGTTGGCTCGTAGCGGATTAATTACTCAATTAAATGTTAACTCAGTTTCAAAGCAACAATTTCTTTGAAAATTGGTAATTTTGTCAGCCATGTGCAATAGAATAGATGCTTATTAGACTACAAAATGGACTGATTATTAGTCTATAAACTGACATGCAAACTCTTTCAGACATTACACAAACACATTCACACACCTGCAAATGTCCATACAAATTCACACATATTTACTCATACATTCACATGAATTCCTAAAGACATGTATAGGAGATCAGATCGGAGATCGCAAAAAAAAAAACACTCTACAAATATTTACGTGGCCTCGCATGCCCAGTACGCCAAGGTTGACGAAAATTCGACTAGGCATGTGTGGCGCTATGAGATGACGCACCAAGATCTCACGAGACAGTGAAGAAAGGTCAGGACAGAGAGGTGAGTACAGTGGGAGAGTTTTCTGTGACAAAGGAATGGAGCTTAGTTAATCTCCAGCCTTTTGTCACATTTGTCAGGCATAGGAGTCCTTAATGTGCCTTCTGTTTTAAAGAGAAATAGATGACAAATTATGAAAACAAGAACATATAGAGAAATAGAAAAGGAAATAGTAGGAAAAGGTAAGTTTCAGATGACAGAGCCACTTTAGGAAGGGAGCACAGTCTAATTAACAGAGTGATAGCTCCCATCCCATTATTCCAAATAGAAATAGCTGGTTGATGTGGCATCGCATATCTAATGCAGAGCTAATGTGGGATGTGAAACCGAACACAAAGTAGGACAAATAATTAGCGGGTCTGTGATCTATGTTGTGCAGCTTCTTAATACAAGATCCCTCTTCAGATTTCAGAAATTCCATAAGTGCAACAAAGCAAGATATAGGTTTGACCATTTATTAATCCATATAAAGAATGCTATTTTATATTTTGATTTGATAT